ATATTTTTTTCTCATGTGTTTTTTTTCACATTCTATAGCCCTGAATGAGACAGAGATTTATTAGTTTATGAAATTATGAAAGTGAGGGCTTTTTTGTTCTGAACGAATGACGAGAAACGGAAATGAGTAAAAACTTTATTTGTTTTTGGGTCTGTACATTAGATGTAAGAAGTGACTGACGTAGTATTGGGCCCAAGAACATAATATATCAAGTCGATCACTGTGTGCTGCAGCTTTCGCACATTATCTTGTTATTTTAGATATGAAACTGAGCTTATGAGGGTTTTGTGAGGCTATTATGAGCGCAACAAGACATTTTTTTAGTTAAAATGTTGTTCTTTTTAGCGCCAGCATGATAGTGACATTCAGTAGTTATTTCTATCGAAAAACAATTCCAAAATTATCCTCTTCTATATTGCTTCGAGTTGGTTTTTAATTACTTTAAAATACTACCTCAGAGATTCCTCTTCCACCGATGAAATGCCAACTCCAATTTACCGAACACCAGAGTTCAGCTGGTCTACTGTACATCTACGTCTTCTTGGAGACCTTCTAAGTGGTATTGAAGCAGTAGTTGAGGAATGGAAATCGTAAGTCCAGAAACTTTTAGTCTTATAGATTTTTTGATTATTTGATCTGATTACAAAATGTTCATGCCGGCTTTTCAGAACCGATTCGCCGTCTCTGGCTGATTACTGCAATATGAATGAGAATCAAGTAAATTTTACTTTATCTTCAATAGTTTCATTTTTTTTTGCAAAGGGATTTGAGTGGTTAAAGAAAGATCATTGATTGGCTAAAATATTCAGATCTTTGTTGGAAACACTGTGCATGTTATTTCACAATTAGCTGACAGTCTCATTATGGCATGTGGCGGCTTACTTCCTCTTTTGGCGTCTGCTACATCGCCAAATGTGAGTTTTTTTTTAACGCAAATTTTCCTTCTTCCTTAACCTTCTTCTTCTTCACCTATTTTTAGAATTTGCTAATATAGTATTGTTTATCAAGTGACAGAAATTTTAAGAGCGAGTTGGAGATTGTGGACGCTTGCCAGCAAGAATTGCCTATAGATTGTGCAGCGACCCTGCTATCCCGATTTGTGCAATTGGCTGATGTCTTCGTCTTCGCCAGTGGTGTGTCATTTGCAGAACTGGAGCAGGTACTTCAAGGTTTTATTTTTGTAGTATCGAGTCTGTATAATCTGCTACTCAGGAAAAGAACATGCCGTCTGGAGGAGTACTACGTCAATCGCTTCGCCTTATAGCTACAGCATCTGTCAGACATATTTTGACAGCTCGAGTGTTACGTCCAGACAGCAGTGGACATGCTTTTGAGCCACACGCCAATGCAAAGAATGAAGCAATTTATGAATTTGTTAGGGGAGCGATAGAGTCGGTAAGGGTCATT